AACGGTGCTGCCAACTTTGGAAAAAGTCATCCCAATTTACTGTGTTGACTTGGCATTGTACAGAAATGGACAACCATATTGGTCTAGAAATGTTAATTTATTTTTATTTTTATTTTTTTTCCATGTGTACAGGGGTAACACATCGTACTAAACATGTAAGGTCATATCTACGTGGGTTTGATTACAGAAACTAATAAAGTATTCTCTAAATAATGAAAAAAGAATAAGATAAGACTATAAGAGCAAGAAGCAATTTAAATATGTTCAGAGACCTTTTTCATCCCCAGAATTAAGGATTTTTTTGATGTTACATCATTGCCTTTTCTCTTTTACTTTCCTTTTTAGTTTTATTTTAGGATTCCCTATTTTTAATGTTCATACAGAGATTTCTTTAACTGAAATACCGAATAGTTTCTTTGGTGGGAAAAACTATAATAGTACACAGGATCCAAATGAGACAATTAATAATGTGAAATAGGAAGTAAAGGGCTAAAGGTGTAAGGAAAGTGGGAAGGGTGGGGGAAAGGTAAGAAGGGAGAGGAAAAAAATATAAGAAACTGAAAAAATGGAAATAAAGTATTTGTAAATGGGGAGGGGAGGGACAAGGGGAAAAATGAGAATCAAGGCCTATTATGTAAAGGTACAGAATTCCAATGATGAATGTAATTGTATTGTATACGTAGATTGTACCAATAACCTCAATAAAAAGAAAGGAAAAAAAAGAGTAAAAAATACTCCAAAGCCTGCTCACCAGCTATATGCATTCCCCACTGAACTTAGCAAGTATAGGCCAGGCTCCCAAAGATAATTACTGTACTAACCAACCATTAACTGAATCTGCTACTTCCCGCCTGCACTAACTAAACAGCTTAAAGCTTGGGCCAGAATTGGAAAGTGAGCTCAGGGTGAGGAGAGGAAGGATAGAGTTTGGAGGAAACAATTCCAATTCCCTCCATTCTTGTTTAAATTCTTGCTTTCTAACTTTTCCTCATACTCTCTGACCGAATGAGGACTGAGGTGCCAAAATATAAGGGGCTGCGGTGCTTCTAGGGAAGTAAGCACTCCAGGTTCTAAGATGGAAGAGCCGCCCACCCCTCCCAAGCAGCTTCCGGTTCTGGGTACCTCGCAGGCCTTCACGTGCTCGCTCTGCCATTCTTCTCGGATCTTGTCCAGTGTGTTGACGTGCTGCATGTATGCTTTGTCTGCAATGCGGAAAGAGCCTTGGTTCAGAGACTAGGCAGCAGGCTCATCAGAGCTGTGGAGAGTTCACAAGTCCTTAAACAGCCACAGGTGGCTGTCACTTTCCTTTAAACAGTGAACCAAGCACTAAGCAAGAAATGCCTTGAGGAAGAAGTGAAAGCTAAGGTGGAATCCCAGCCAGAGGTTTATCTACTACTGCTGGTAGTCTGGCCACTTTTCATTTTCAGGAAAATTCTCCAATGAGGATGCAGGGAGAACTGCCTTGAACCCTAAAGCAATACCAAGATAATTTGTTTTTCAGCAAATAATTTTTTATTTATAAACTATATTAATTTTTCTTTTTGAAAAGGGTTCTCGCTGTGTAGTTCAGGTTGGCCTTGAACTCAGTAGGTAACCCAGGCTGGCCTCAAACTCACAGCAATCTCTCCTGCCTCAGCCTCCCGAGTGCTGCGTGCACCACCACGCCAGGCTATTTTCCTTTACATTTGTTCAAACTAACACACTTTGACTTTTCATTTAGACGTCTCCTTAGTGGTGGCCTTCACAAGAGGCCTATTTCTGGGACTTAGAAATCTTTGTAACTTCTGGTTTGGGTTTTGGATTTCAGGGATGAAAAGGCCTTGCACCTCAGCTTTTTCTTTCATAGCAGATGAGGGTTGCAAGGGCTGAAACAGTCTTTTAGATAGTGAGCCACAAAAAATGAGAACAATTCCAAAGCAGCCACCACAGGACTGCAACTCCACCAAACACTTAACACCTAAGGCAGCCAGACCTCCGCCTCCTGTGCTTCCTCCTACTTCCAGGAATCCTTGCACACCTTCGTTCCTCCCTCCTTTCCCTCCCTTCACTGTTTGCTTTCTTTTCCTCCTTCTTCTAATATGTTTTTAACCCTACTATAAATACATAACATTCTTTATTGTAAAACTACTTTTCTCAAAAACACACTTAGGAGAATGTAAATCCTACCACTAACCTGCCCCATCCAGAGCGAGAGCCCCCTCTCACCTGAGTCTTCTACTGCAGTCTTTGAAGTTGCCAGTTTCACAAAAAGCTGTGGAAAAGAAAAAGAACAGAGATCAGGAATGCTGGGCCAGGCTTCCATAGACAAACATGTGCAAAAGCAATGACTATGAAGAGACAAGGTCTTGTCGAAGTTGTATCTACTTTTCCCTCGTGAGCAAATCACTCAATTTACCCTTTAATCTTCTCATTATTAGAAAATGGACATAAACATAAAAGCCCTATCTCTCACTAAACACATACTCTTGCCTTGTCACTGACAACTCTTTTACGTCAAGAGTTTATAAAATTAAATTTCCAATCTGCCCAAGCCAGAGGCAACAAACACAAGAGCTGTGTTTTTAAAAGATGAAAAAAAAAAATACATCAGACCTCTCGTGCTACCCTTGGCTCCCCAAGGCCTTGCTTCCTAGTGCTTGCCCCATCCCCAAATATGTAACACGGAGTTTTAAGACTGTTAGTTGGTTTTAAATGGATGACTTTCAATCTCAAATCTTTCAAACCGTCAGCCCTCCTAGGTACCTTTTCCTGTTGCTTTGTGTTTACCAGGTTGGCACTCCGGTGGACCGCTTGTTCCGCCTCATCTTTGTCCCGGCATTTCTGCTCATAGGTCTTCTTTGCCTTTGTCGTTTCAAAGAGAGAAGCAAGACAAGTGAGACGGTTATAACCCTGGAAAGCAGCCACCTAAGCCCTCCAAACCCAGCAGAAATGGGACACTCTGGTTAGCGCTGCCATCACCAGGAGTCCTTGGACTCTCAGAAGACAGATGCTCATTCTTGTTAGTCTCTGAAATGTCTCTCTGGCTGTAGCCCTCTTCCAGATTGTGGATGGAGTGGCAACTTCATCATGGAAGTAGTAACTCCAATTTAGTAACACAAAGTACAGGAGCTTTAAAATTTGACTAAAACAAAAGATGGAATCTGAAATAGGCAAATTAGAATATGTGTGTAATTCCATGATGTGTAATCCAACATGTGTAGCAATCATTATTCTCAGAATTTACATGCAATCATTGGTCACTGATACTATCACATTCTAATTATGCTTCACTATTCTAATGTGCCTAGCCATGACTATTGGGGGTCTGTCTCCAAAGACATTTCTTTTACCTTAATATAGTCATGTTCTGTTTTGATTTAAAGAATGCTGTTTTAAGTAGTTTAAAAGTAAGCCATCCCTGTATCAAAATAAAAATTGAAAGGTCTGGGAATAAATCTCAGTAGTTTGATCCCTAGCAACATACATATAAACAACAACAACAACAAAATAGGTAATAGGCTATCCGGTGCCACCATCACTATTAATATTATGCAAAGAGTTCACAAACTATAATCATTAGTGAATCAATGATTTTCTGTTTCAACTATGGAAACAAAGCCTTAATGTGTTTAAATGAAACCAAACTTGTGGCCCTAACAATTTAGCTAATAAATAAGAATGGTGGAGAAAGTGCTTAAGAATGAAGACACTCAGTTCTACTGCTTGTTTGGCTGTTTATGAACCAGAGATAAAGTACTAAACCTGAGAGTATAGCTTCAAGTCAAGGGCATCAGTTCAAAACCTAGCTCCACCACTGTCTAGGTGTTCTTAAACTACTTAGCCTCTCTGTGCCTCAGTTTTACCCTCTGTAAAGCAAAGATTTTATATACAAATACATATAAAATATATTTGTTCTAAATATGTATAAAATGAAAGCAGATAAGCTGTATTTCTATAGCTATTGCATATGTATATATGAAATTGTGTTTATAAATAAAATTCAATCCACAAACAAATAAAATTCAAGTTAATAATAATGTTTTAAAACAGAGTATCCTTTACATATTGAAGATATACTCCTAAGTGAAATAAATAAGGCACACGTATAAACACTGAATAGTTTCTCTAGTGTGAATAATCTGCAATAATACAGAAGATCCTAATAAGATTACTGACATTGAGAAATGGGAAGAAAGGAGCTAAAGGTGTAGGGAAGGTGGGATGGGTAGGGGAAGGGTAATAAGGGAAAAGAAAAAATGTGAGAGAATGAAAAGATGGAAATAAGTGTTTGTAGATGGGGAGGGGAGGAGGGGGTGAAGGGAGGGCAGGGACAAGGGGAAAAAATGAGAACCAAGACCTGTCATGTAGAGGTACAAGATCCCAACAATGGATGTAACTGTACTGTATCCCTAAAATGTACCAATAAACTCAATTAAAGCTGAAAAAATAAATAAATAAAACAAAGTATCCTTCATACAGATGGTCTGTAACAATGGATGACTGTACTGTATCCCTAAAATGTACCAATAAACTCAATTAAAGCTGAAAAAATAAATAAATAAAACAAAGTATCCTTCATACAGATGGTCTGTGCTTAACAAATACTTCCCTATACTACTCGGCATCCTCTGCATTTCAGCTAAGGGTAGCCTTAAAGCAAAGATGCTTACAATTCTCTCTATATGCTATCACATATTTCAATATTTGTAAAACACACATATGTCTTTTTTGTTGTTTTATTTTGTTTTTTGAGACAGGGTCTCACTATGTAGTTGAGACTGAGCTGGAACTCACTATGTAGCCCAGGCTGGTCTCAAACTCACAGCAATCCTCCTGCCTCAGCCTCCCGAGTGCTGGGATTACAGGCATGTGCCACTATGCCCGGCTCATTTATGTCTTAAATAGGCAAATATGGCACAATCTTCTTATCAACTCTCTATTGATAGATATTTCCCTTGTTTCTCATTCTTTAGACATACCAATACACTCATTTTATTTGGAATACTGTGTGAGATACCCAGGACAAATTCTTAAAATTGTAATGGTCTGGAAAAAAAGCATTTATATATCAGACTTCCTTCTGAAATGGCTGCACCAATTTATACTACTAATATTATATGAAAGTACCTATTTCCTCATGCTTTCACCAACACCAAGCTTAGTCAGTATTTTTTTTCAAATGTGAGATAGTTGATCTTGTACCTGCAGGGAGCAGCTGGCCCCAGATATCTCCAATCCCCATCCTTTTATTTTTTTTTTTGTACTAGGGATGGAACTCATAAATCTACATTTTTTCCCCTCCAATTCTTACATGTCCAAAGACATGCCTTTGTAGGAAGGTTAGTCAGTATTTTTAATCTTACCTAACACTGAGGAAAAAATGCTAGCATATTGCCTTATTTGCATGTCTTTCGTTATTGCTAAAGGTAGTTTCAGTGCTTGACATATAGGAAGAATTCTGTATATTATTACATTTCCAAAACACTTGTTTTGAGAACCATATCTCTGATATTATATTGTATTACACTTAACTTTATATCTAGCTTCTCCATATCATGTGAACTTTTAAAAGGTAAAATTAAAGTGATTTATCCTTCCAATTTTATGTCTTTTGCCTGCTTTTCTGTTAGAGCACTTTTAATTTTAATTGATTTTTAAGAGCTCAGTGTATATTAGAACCACTATGCAGCTATAAGGTATGTAAGTCACAAATATTCTTCCAAATGTTTCATCTATCACAGAAGTATATATAAGGTGATAATATTTTTGCTTTTATTATAAAGAAATCTTAAGCTAGATATGTTGGTACACACCTGTAATCCCAGCCCTCTGGGAGGTTAAGGCAAGAGATTTGCAAATTCATAGCTAGCCTGGGAAAATCAGCCACTTAGCAAGAACTTTTCTCAGAATAAAAAAGGGCTGGGTATATAGTTCAACGTGAAGGCCCTGGCTTCAATCCCCAGTACCAAAAGTAAAAAGTCTTAAATTTTATTATCCAAGTCATCAGGTTTTTTTAATCTGTCCATTTCTATTTTTTTACTATGACATGTTAAGCAGTTTTTCTCTGTTCTAATACAGTCCTTATAATTGTATTCTTAAAGGCTACCTAATATATTTAACCCTTCTCCTACTGTCAGTTACTAAGTCACAATTTTCATTAATTAATACATTTATGCCTTTGTTATTCATATTTTGGATGATTCCTGAAGTCTTAGATTCTTAGCATAAGACTGATGGGGTAGTCATCTTTATGGCAGCGTAACTCTTAATCGGTAAATCTTGGAAGCAGTTTATTAAGAGATGAATGGATAATAAAATATATATATATATATATATATATACATACATGTATGTGTGTGTATGTATATCAGCCACAAAGAAGGATAAATTTGAGTTATTCTTAGAAAAATGGAGGCACTGTCAGACCATAATGCTGAGTGAAATAAATAAGACACACCAACTTAAATAGCACATGGTTTCTCTTACCCAAGAAACCCAAAGTATAAATAATTTAAAGAGCAAAATAAAAGAGAGATGATAAGAAACAGAGAGGCAGATGTTTTACAGATGAGAAAGGGATCTAGAGATGGAGAAAAAGTAGAGGGAGAGGAGGGGAAGAGAAAATAAAAAGGACTAACATGAAGTATCCCTGTGTACCAATTTCCACAGTGAATGTATTAATTATGTATTGCAAACAGGTATTTTTAATGTCCATACAGAGATTTCTTTAACTGAAATACCGAATAGTTTCTTTGGTGTGAAAAACTGTAATAGTACACAGGATCCTAATGAGATAATTAATAATGTGAAATAGGAAGTAAAGGGCTAAAGGTGTAGGGAAAGTGGGAAGGGTGGGGGAAAGGTAATAGGGGAGAGGAAAAAAATATGAGAAACTGAAAAAATGGAAATAAAGTGTTTGTAAACGAAGAGGGGAGGAGAGGGTGAAGGGAGGGCAGGGACAAGGGGAAAAATGAGAATGAAGACCTATCATGTAAAGGTACAGAATCCCAATGATGAATGTAATTGTATTGTATACCTAGATTGTACCAATAAACTCAATAAAAAGAAAAAAAAGGGCAATTAAAATAAATAAATAATCACTTCTCGGCCTTTTGGCTAAGATCAAGTATAAAATAAATAAATTTTAAAAGATTGATGGGGTGTGATAACATTTATAACACCAGAAAGATATTGTAAGACACCTTTTATTTTATTTATTTATTTTTGTTTTTTTTAAGACAAGATCTTGCTATGTACCAGGCAGGCCTTGAACTCACTATGTAGCCCAGGATAGCCTAGAATTCAAAGTATTCCTCCTGCCTTAGCCTCCTGAGTGCTGGGATTACAGACATGCACCACTATGCTTGGCTGCAAAGTATTTTTTAGAAAGGCTTCCTAGGCTTCTGGGAAGATGGAACAGCTATACTTTTCCACACTGGTACAATTAAAAACCCTAAACATTATGTATAAAACAAACATAAGGTTATGAAAGATGAGAGAAGGCAGACTGGCTGATGAATTTGGACTCAAAAAGCAAAACAATAGTGAGTTCCCGAGGCCTTTTTTTTTTTTTTTTTTGCTTAATATATCATAGACTGAATGCCATGGAAGCAGGCAACTCAAAAACACCAGTGATGACAGACCAAAAGAGCTCAACAAAATCATGTTCTTTCTAGTAAAACACTAGGAAAGGGGCAGCTTAGCAAAAGACAAAGCTTTAGAAACTATTCACAATGAATAATCATTATGTACTACAAACGTACTAATAAAAAATTTAAAAAGAAAATAACCATTCTATTGCTTCTTTGGCTAAGATCAAGTGAAAATAATCATTCTACTGCCACTAAACACCATTTTAAAAAACTGGGCCCCCAGCCCTGATGTGCCAGCAAAGGCCAAGCAGACAGTCTAAACTTCCATCATCACCAGGCTCTAAAGGGCACCAACTCCCCTGCCAAGGTGGCATCAGAGGACAAATGGGATGTGAGATTTTTCATTCCCACCAAGAGGGAACAAATCTACACAAGCACTGTGTCAGTGGAAACGGTGTGGGGAACTTGAACTTGTACACACACATGGCAGTAATGATGTACCCCTTCACCCCCACTGAGGTGGTGTCAGAGGGAATCTAAGGAAGAGTCGGAACCTTAACCATCTTCCAATACTGACAGGGCCACACCTACTGTGTGGGTGTCAGTGAATACCAAGAAAGGGACTTGGACTTTTACCCACCCCCTGCAATAATGAGGCCTCACTTCCTTGCTGCTGGAATGTGTCAGAGGAAACCAGCTAAACCAAAAGGTTAAATAAGATCCAAAGTCTTGTAATACTAACAAAATTCCAAAATCAAATATCACAAAAACCAAGAACCAGAAAGACATCAAACCAAATGAAAAAAAAGAAGAAATCAATAGATGCCACCATCAAGTTTGAAGAGAAATGTTAAAATTATATTAGAAAAATTTTAAAGCAGCTGTCATGAGTATTCAGCAAGTGTTTACACACTCATATGAAAAAATACATAGTACTTGCAAAGAAATAGAAAAACTCTGCAAAAAAATAGATAATATAAATAATAAAGAGGACATTTTAGAACTGAAAAATACAATAACTAAAATAAAAAATTTGAGTGGATGGGCTTAACAGAAGAATGAAAGAGACGAAGAATCAGCTAAAAATTAAGCAGCAGCTGCTGAGCACTTTGGTATGGGTTTGTAATCCCAAGTACATAAGAAGAAACCTTGGGCTGGGCCTGGTGGTGCACACCTATAATCTCAGCACTTGAGAGCTTGTTCGGAGGTTCTACTAGGGGAGTGCAGCTATTCATTTGCCCTTGACCAAGGAAATGGCCCTCCTCTATCAAGGATGCTCATCCTCTTCCACCAAGTACACAACTTCGGGAGAGAAAGACATGGAGTGGTGGGGGAGAATGGGGACACCCGTCTAGCCAGCTAGATTAGTCAAATCAACCCTGATAATCAATGGGGTAGCAGATGTCACAGCCAGATTGCCCTCACATCCTAATCCCAACACTTAGGAAGTTGAGGCAGGAGGATTGCCACAAGTTCAAGGCCAGTATGGACTACCATAGTGAGTTCAAGGCCAGCCTTAACAACATAGCAAGACCTTTTCTCAAAAAAGCAAAAATAGGGGCCCAGGATTTAGCTCAGTGGTGCCGCCACCTGCCTCACAAGGACCCGTGTTCTACCTCTGGTACCAAAAAACCAAAAAGCAAAAAATAAACAAACTAAACAATAAATCCTTGGAATAGTAGATGGAAAATAAAAGAATATGATAAGCAAAAAAAATTAGTAAACATGATAGTTTTCTTTCTCCTGTCAAATTTTCTAAATTATTTTTGACAGGGGAAGCAAAAAATATAATACTAATAAGCTCTAAATATAAGTAAAGGAAATAATTAAGAAAATTATATTTTGATAAGCCTATCTCTCTAATTGTGAGAATGCTTGCCCCAGACTGCTCAAATCATAAAAGGTCTGGAGGGGAAAAAATCATATATTCACCATCACTATTTGTGCACTACACTAACGTTATTCCCTACTTACTAGTTATTTTGAGGTGATATCCATCAAAGAAAAAAGCAATGCAGCAAGACAGACTGCATATACCATCAACAGTTGTGACACTTTCATATCATGTCATACTCACAGAAAATCATGATGGCACGTATGTACAAAGAAGAAGTCATAAATGTCCTAAGAGTGGGATTTTTTATTCATAGTTAACAGATCCATGAGAATCTAGCATGAGATCCTCAGCAACTTGCCTTACCTCTATTTTGCCACTTATTTTTAATAAATTACTTAAAGAAAAGTAGACTTTTACAATTTCCAGTTATCTTTTCTTTTTTTTTTTTTGTACCAGGGATTGAACTCAGGACCTTGTGCTTGCCAAGCAGCAGCAGGGCCACTGAGCTACATCCCTGGCCCAATTTCCAGTTATCGTAAAGCAGGAAGAGTCAGTAAAAGAGGTTCACAGTTAAGATTCAAAATAGCCACAGGGTAAAGGCTCAAGTACAAAATAAATAGCATCATATCACATATGTATATTTTTTATCTTGGTCTAAAATATTTAAATTGACTTTCTTTATTTCCCCAGGTTATCAGAAAAATAACACCATTGTATTTTCACTACCTCGTTTCATCTTCAAGCTTTCCAAAAGTCCTTAAAAAGGAGAGTCAAATCACTAAGGATTGTTCTCCCTGAAACACTACACTAATAAATAAATAACAACATTACTGAAATGCTATTTGAGTAGGAATATGCTCATATAAAGCACAGTATTTCCAAAAATGTTCCTATTACTCCACCACCACCACCAAAAGGCAATAAAGTGTGACTCACATCCATAGTTTTCTTGAATTGTAAGTTCCTTTGTTTATGGACAGCATCCATTACAAGCTCTGTCTGTAAAGAGAGTGCAAGTACTATTAGTCAAAACAGAGATTATAGATTTTTTTTTTTTTGCAAGTGCTAGGGATCAAATCCAGAGCATGCTAGTCTACCAAATGAACTATACCAATAGCCCAGAACTTATTATTAGAATCAGTTTATGCTGGGAGTGGTGGAGCACACCTCTAATCTCTAATCCCAGCACTCGGGAGGCTGAGGCAGGAGGATCGCTGTGAGTTCGAGACCAGCCTGGGCTATGTAGTGAGTTCCACGTCAGTCTCAACTACATAGTAAGACCCTGTCTCAAAAAACAAAACAAAACTAAACTAAACACCAGCTTATACTGAGAGCTGGGTGTTTAACATGATTTATTTCATTAAGTCATCATACCATCCAGAAGGCAGCTGTGCTATTTATTACTCTCATTTTACAAATGAGGAAGCTGCAGAACCAAGAAGCTGAACAATGTGCCCAAGGTCTCAGGGCTGGTTAATGATGGTGCTAGTTAATGATCTTTGAACTTAGGCAGTCAGACATTACAGCCTGAAAATTCAGGCACCTTGGAGACCCACTGATCACCTTAGAACATTCTCTTCACTAAATATGAAATCAAGAAACTTTGGTTTCACTGCTGGGGATGTAGTTCAGCTGTGCTGAGCCTGCCTGGCAAGCGCAAGGTCCTGAATTTAATTCCTGGTTTCAGAGAAAAAAACAAAACAACTTTGGTTTCAAAAGGAATTTTCAATTTTTTGTTAAAGCACCATTTGTATTTAGAAGGGGGTCTTCAGTCTGTACTCTTATGCTAAATTAGGGTCATACACATTCACTTCTGTGGCTCATCAATGTGTCACACCCTTCACCAGTAAGGAGCCCAGGCAATATGAGGGGAAGAAATGTTTGCAGCACAGCTAAGAGATGATGCTTCCCTACTCTTTATCCACCTAACTCACCAAGATAAATTCCAGGGAGTTCACTTGGCAGCATTTTCCCTGAGATCGATTAAGTTTTTGTCCATCACCATAACACACAAACATAGAAGGATTTTCAAGATACGTAGAGGGAATACTTGAGATGGTCTCACTTCAAATATGAGCTTTGTGGCGTGCGTGACATTCCCTTGGGAGAGCCACAAGCAGCCCTCAGGGGACCTAGCAGTCACCTTCAAGCCAAGGTGAAAGAGGTGAAGCAGAAGGTGGCCATTCACCTGCCAATGGGGACAACAGCAGAGACACAGGCAAGACAGGGCTCCGCTATGAGGCCCACGTGAGAGAACACAAGGTAGGCAGATCCTTGCCATAGCAGGCAGGGAGCTGTGGGCTCACAGGAGTGACTACGTTCTTCTGCCAGGAGGAGGAGTGAGAAAGCGGCGATCCTGACAAACTTGAAGTGATATGCTGTGTGTGTGCAAGGCCACTCGGCGATTATTGGTGGGATGCCAGACACCAGGTCCACCTCTGTCTACTATACTGCCCCATCTCCCATCTGTGTTCACTTACAGGGTGATGCTACTCATGTTGATCCCAATGAGTCAAAGGTTCTCTTTCAGATCTTTTAGGGGAAGTGTCTCTTCTAGGACTCAGAATTTCTTAGACCAAATCCAGTAGAAATTTGGTTGTATTATTGATAACGCAAAGCAGTGCAAAACACAAATCATCTCTGCTATACGGTGGGAGAAGCAAAACAGAGGGGAAAAAGAGAAGAGATCTGCAAATGACCCAGATATTCCCGAAGTAAATTGATGAAATGGCTGCTTTGCCATTTTCCACATATCTGGCCTCAGACTGTATTCTGCAAACTTAGTTACTGAGGAGGCTCCCTGCTCAGGAGATGGCTCTCTATACAGACATCAAAAATCTTCCAGGACTATCCTTAGCTTAGCTGAGACTAAAACACTGGGCACCAGAGGACAGAGTGACTGACTGTGTGCTGCCTTTGTCATGCTAAGGTCGTTTCTGGGCTGGAGAAGAAACCTTAGCACCTCCAAACATCAAGACTCCTGAGAATGAGACCCCTATCCTCCCAACTCCCAGGGATGAGAGCCTCTCACTGCTTCACACAATGTCCTTCCACACTGCTGACCTTGCCAACAATGTTATTTCTTCCCTTGGACCCATGGATGAGGCGATGTACTCCCACTGTGTGTTCAGATGGCATCTTCCTTTGCCCTTCACCACGTAAGTCTCATCATGCTTTATCCTGAATCTGTGTCGCAGCAGATTCCGGCCATGCTCTTTGCTTAGCGACAGAAGGACAACCACGTCTGTCTTGGTGTCCACCCTCAGAAAATGTTAGTTGTATGAGTGCGAAGCCACAAACTTACCAGCACTCACCCACACCTTTCTCACCCCAATGTTCTAAAATAAACCAACTCGTGGCTTTCTTTGGAAATGGCTTAATTTCCAAGAAGTAGAAGACCAAAGTGTGCAGAGTTTGACCGCTTTAAAATATGAGAAGTTAGCGCTGCCATCTTTCTCGTGAAGTTTAATTTAAAACAAAATTAAATACAGAAGTGATGCAACTCCAGAAATTCGTTATGATTCAAGACATTACAAATTGATTGATAAACACTGGACTTTTCAAAGCTCTTAACGTATTTTCCTGCTGTAGTGGGAACTTGGTGATTGAGCAAATCACCAAGCAAACAGCACAGGCCACTCTATTGCATAACAGAATTCAGAACTTGTTTAACTAACTCATCACAATTTGGTCTGTGAAACTCGTTAGAGGGGAAGTTTCAGAAACCTGGTAAAATTAAAGAAAAAAAAAAAACTCTCCCTGAAAAGGCCAGAGCATCAGAAACACTTGAGAACATGAGGAAATGATTCTCCTCTCTTAACAGTGGAAATCATGTGAACAGACTCTGGTTGTCTAAGAAATTACCTTTGAAAAATTAAAATTCCCCTAAAGAGGTGAGCAGGCCTAGCAATGTCAGCATCACTGTCTGTCTGGCCATCCAATGGGTGTGACATGCATGCTATTTCTGCTCATAAAAAAAGTGTTTGGGCTAGATGCACCTGTCTGGACTGTGTACAAGTGCTTGATGAAGGGTTCCTTAAGTGTTCCTATCTGCCCTTCATTCCTGGTAAGAGGTACAGAACAAGTATAGGCTGTGAATTGGGAAGAGGCCAGGGGATGCTAAGAGTAGGTCACGACAAGACAATAAATGAAAGGGAGGCAGGCTGATAGGAGGCTCCTCCCCAAGCCAAGTGTTATCTTGTATCTAGATGTTCGCAAAGCCTCATGAGGGCAGAGGTGGAGCTTTCTGGTGGTAGCTGGATCTAGCGTGTGATGCTGGGATTAAGGATGTGATACTGGGATTGATTCATGCTTCGATGCTAGGATTAAGGATGTGAGTGCTATCCACACTAAGGTCAGTAACCTGGATAAAAATAAGGGACAGAGAGGACAGAGACAAAAATAAACGACATTGTTTGTCGCTTTCACTTGGTGCTTGCTGCCTTCTGCCTGCCTGCTTTGTGATGTCCCTCTGCCATACCAACCTGCCTTGGAGCCAGCCAACTATGAACTTAAACCTCTAAGAACTGTGTGCCAACTAAATCTTTCCTCCTTTAATTTTGGGTGTCGGGTACTTTGTCTCAGCAATAACAGAAAAATAGCTAAGACACGAGGCATAGTGTCACATGCCTATAATCCTAGTACTTTAGGAGGCTAAGGTAGGAAGATCCCAAGTTTGAGCTCATCCTGAGCAACTAAGAGACTTAGTGAGAACCTGTCTCAAAATTAAACATTAAAAAGGGCTGGTAGGGCCGGGGATTTAGCTCAGTGGTTCCACCACCTGACTCACAAGCACAAGGACCTGAGTTCGATCCCCTGTACCAAAAAGGGGGGCGGGCTGGTGATGTAGGTCAGTGTGAAGGCCACACACACACACACACTGCTGTTGCCTGCATCAGCCCACATCAGATGTCAGTGGCTACCAAAGAAATCAGTCCCAGACCCCAACTTAGAATCACAGGCAAAGTTGCCAAGTTTGAAGTAAGGGTAAAGACAGCCTTAATTGTTGGGTGTTTATTGGATACACACCCTAAAAATAACCTCTGGGCACTAAAGGGCCAGGATGCAGAAAGGATCCTAAAGGGACCTCCAGGAAGGGTGAAAGAATCACCAGAAGTCCACACAGAGCTGACCTAGGACAGCTGGGTAGAGGTCTTTTGGTGCCCCACAAGGAAGACTTTGTGCCCCACTGAAGCCAGGGTTCCAGTCTCAAGGCCTGGATGCAGAAGAAATTCTGGAAAGGTCCTAGTTTGCTACAGGGTAAAACTAAATATATAAGTCTTTCAGGAGCAAACTGGAAAGGAGTCAGAATTTTGAGTGGTCTAGTCTGAGTAATACTTTGTTATGAGCCTAGACTTCTTTTTCTGATCCCTGTAACTTCCCAAATATTTACCAGTTTTATGAATTCTTGTTTACTCTCATGTTCTTCCATGTAGAGTAAATCCTATCAATGACAAAGAGCCTGTGCATAGCTTCTATGAAGAGAAAAACACCTTGGACTTCCCACGGCCTAGCAGCCCACCAGCTGGGATCTGTCAACAGCTTGTGTGTGGTATTGTTTTAGTAACAGCAGCAAATGTGAAAAGAAGAGGTGGACCCCTGACTCCTCCGGAATCACTGGGCTAAATCCCTGGCCCTCATCCGAGAATTTTAAGGACATACCTGGGTGCAAAAATGGGCATAGGGACACAGGCACCTAGACTGAGTCCTCGCATGGGGACTCCAGTAAATAACTTCTCAGAGTACAAGTAAAGCATAGTTGTGTGGGGGTAGGAGCAGAATTGAGGAGTTCAAATAAGCCCAGAGTTTTCTGCAGGAAGGGTGACATTTTAACACGCTCGCGATTCCAACCTTTTTCCGTTGTAGCTTCTGCTTTTCCCTGAATTCTTCCATTTTCCTGGCCTCTTCTCTTAGAGTCTGTGCAAGCTGAATGTGACACTGGGCGACGTTGTCTACTTCTGCAAAAATAATTTTTTAATAAGACAATAAGCTCTGTTCCTAAATCCAAATACACAAAAGTATACAAAATTATACATGCTTAGTCACAAAAGACTGAAGCAAATATTAAAATCATTTGGTCACCAACATTTACTGAGCTCTTTCATGTGCCCAGCATTTCCCTGGACACCAAAACTAAGGCTAGGGAGCCCTTAGCTTAGCCTCCTACTCTTAAATGTTACTAACCTAGCACATACCCAGTGCTGGAGAACAAAACAAAACAGCCAAGGGTGCATCTCAGAAGTTTGCATCCCAGGAGACATTCCTAAAGCCACCATCATTTCACATTTAACACTTCACTCTCTTTAGACAACATCTTGGGATCTTTCCATTTCTAACCTCTCAAGAACCTGAACTTTTATTAAAAAGGTCACACAGGGCCAGGGATTTAGCTCAGTGGCACCGCTCCTGTCTTGCAAGTACAAGGTCCTAAGTTTGATCGCAGGTACCAATAAATAAATAAGTAAATAAAATGAATAAATATCATACAACAAAAGTTTGCCTTCCAGTAGTTATTATTGGGTAGAAAGATTATTGGTCATTTCCCCCCTTATTTTGAAAAATCTTTACAGTGAGCATGGCTTGCCTTTATAATAGACAAAATAAACTTTTAAATTTTATTCCTCCAAGAAAACAAATTGAAGCATGGTATTAAAACTAAAAATGAGGCTGGGGACTTAGCTCAGTGGTTCTGCCACCTGCCTCTCAAGCACAAGGTCCGGAGTTCGATCCCTGGTACCAAAAACAAAAAACAACTAAAAGTGGCTGGCATGGTGGCACACACCTATAATCCCAGCACTAAGGAGGCTGAGGCAGGTTGCTGAAGTTCAAGGCCAGCATGGGCTACATAGTTAGTTTAAGGCCAGTTTGAACTACTTAGCAAGATCCTGTCTCAAAAGATACATATATACATATATACATACACACATAAATCCAGAAAGACTGACAGATCTAAAATTTTTTTAAATTTGTGCCATCTAAATAACCTTGAAGATCAGCAGATACATGAAAAAATCTGAAAATATTTGCAATGTATACAACTAAGAGCAAATACTTATATTAAAAGAGATTTCTCAAATAAAAAGGATATTTGTATCTCAGTAAAAATCATTTAAAGAACATGAAATTCAGAAAAGAATGGTTAAGCGGCTAATATGCAACTAAAAATATATTCAGCACTAAAACTACTGAAAATATGTAAAACCCAAGATATGTCATTTTTTTGCCTTTAAGTTTTGTAAAATTTCAAAAGCAAGAAAATTTGGGATATTGATGAACATAGGGAGAAATGACCCTGTTGGCAGGGAAAAAGTCAGTACATCTTTTTTAGGAGGAAATATGATATTTTATCATCAAAAGTTTTAAATGGAAAAAATAAGGCAGAGCTATATGAAATGAAATAGAAAGCTGTCTATGATACATTGCTAAGTAAAACAACAAATTATAAAGAAATATGTACAGCATCTTCTTGTATAAAAACTCACTCATGTCTATGCATAGAAAAAGTTCTGGAATGATATATACTAAACTGTTAACATGATTAAAATTTGATATCCTAGAGATTTTGAACCCCTGCCACAGTATACTATTTATGTTTATGAATAGATCCATATTTATGCCTATATACATATATATATATGTATATATTTGAAATTGTATTAAAATGCCTGCTGGTATATTTACCAATAACTGCTTATCCCTGAGAAGTGAAATTCCAGGGCCTACCATTTCCTTTATAGTTACCTGTCTCATTTAAATACAAATTTTAATATAAATGCACTATACTAACATGAAGAAAATAAAACTTTTTTGAGAGAAAAATGAAGAATAATAACAAAAAATAAATGATTTAGGCAAGCCTGCCTGTGCTGAAGTTTCTTGAGCCACACAAGTGGCCTTACATAGGAAATATGAAAAAAATACCATGTTTATCTTGAGAAATAGATTCATTGATGAGTTGAAGAGAGAAGGTACCTTCTATTGAAAAGTTACAAAAAGTTAAGGCAACTATTTATCCTCTTAACTAGCTAATATTTATACTTGTGGTATATATATACTTATGGTATATATAATGTGGGTTTCATGTGTAGTTCCAGGTTACTCCCTCCCCAAGGAGGGTATGAAAATTCTAATCTTCCCCTGCATTAGCTGACCATAAATTCTCTGACCAAACTGTCTGACAATAGGTCATAAGTCCTTTCTCAATCCAGAGAATTCCTGCCCCATTCCCTGGAGAAAGGAGTACTGCATACAGAGGCCAAGAAGAACCTAAACAGACAGGCATTGTTGGGAGTTCCCCAAGCAAGCCTATGCAATGAAGTCTACATAAAAACCCAAAGGACGGGGCTGAAAGCTGTGTAGGTTCGTGGAGGGCAGTGTGGCTGGGAGAGGGCAGGGAAGCTCCATGGCCTCTCTCCCATATCTCACCCTCTACATCTCTTCTTCAGTATCATTCATAATAAACCAGCAAGTTTAAGTGTTTCCCTGAGTTTGTGAGCTGCTCAAGCAAATGAATCGAATCAAAGCAGGGTTTTGTAGGAACCCTCATTGTTTTCTACTTAGTAAGAATCACAGATAAAACAACGTAGGGCTTGCAAATGACATCTAAGTTCGGCGTGGGTAGCAGTCCTGAGGATGAGTTCTCAACCTGTCTTATCTGCTTCTATCTCCTGGTTGATACTGTGGGAACTGAACCAGATTAGAGGACACCTGGCTAGCTTCTGTCTATTAGAGAAGAGGTTGCTTACTTGCTGGGAGAGAGAAATCCTCATACATCTGGCATCTGCGACCTTCTGTGTTGATTGTTGTGTGACAGTAGAGGAAACAGACTGTTCTGACAGCACATCATTCAACTAGCTACAGAAACACTTCACATGTCACACAGACTGTGCCTGTTAAAGTCATTAGCTTAGAGACTCCAAACTCTCAGGACAGAAAGCCTCAGACATAGGCTCATAATGCCTGGGACCACTAAGGCTGGATAGGATAAATTCCAAATTAGATTTGCAACCAGAGGCCACAGTACAGGAACAAAAACTGAAAGAATAAGAAAACATGCTGATGGCACCATGACTTGTGCTTTCCATTTGCTCTTGAGACATGGGACCAAATAAAGAATCAGCCATCTGAGAAAGCAAAGATGGCCTCACAGGAAGAAAATTGTTTCCTCTCTGCAAAAAAATATAGGAAGTACAGCTTCACCGCAGGAGAGATCAACTCTGATAATTCTGACATTGACATTTCCAAAGACTTTTAGTTTCCTCTTGGAATCGGCCTTTTTTATTTTCAAGAGCCATGATAAAATTAGAATACCCATGCAAAATAAGAAAGAAGTCCAAAACACAATGGAACGCCCTCTCACTGGAGTCTTTTTCCTAAGATGATAAAGGAGACAAATGGGAAGGGGTCCTCTGTTATTTCTAGAACATAACGTCCTGACTTTGAAGAGAAATGAAGAAATAAGTAAGAATTAAAGAGACAATAGAATGTGGTGTGAAAAAATGACCTCAAACTTTCTCAAGCAATCAGCCTGGAAAACTGTGAGCTCCGATGTAAACAGTGTTGATTGAAGGTGCCTCTGAAGCATCCAAGAAGTATGCATTAGGGGGTGGAATATACGGACCAGTACTCAGAGAGGTCTAGACCAAAGATATATACCTGCACATTCTCTGAGAGAGGGCAGTAGCTGATGCCAGAGATGAGGGTGAGTTTACCCAAGGAGACTGAGGTGAGAAGGTATTGTGATTTGTATATGAAATGTCCCCCCAAAGTATACAGAAGTGAGGCTTTTGGAAGGTGATACATTTATCAGTGGATTAATTTATTGATGATTTCGCAGCTGAATGTGCTGTGGGGAGGTGGGGCTTGGCTGAAGGAAGTAGGTCCCTGGGGACCTGACACAGTTATATTCTTAGGCCTGGCTCCTCCCTTCTCTCTCTGTTTCCTGGTTGTCACAAGTTGAGCAGCTGCCTTCCACCATGCCCTTTGGCCATGCCATTTGTGTCTTGGAGCCAGCCTGAACTGGTTAAAACCATGAACCAAAATAGACCTTTTTTCCTTTAAGTTTTATATGTCAGGTACTTTGTCCCAGCAATGACAAATGACTAACAAAAAAGTTTAGTTTCATTGACAGCATAGACAAAAAGGGACAGAGAAAGGGACAATCAAGTAACCAGAAAAGTAGGAAGATCCAAGACAGTGAGATGGGATGAAGCTTTCAAGATGCAAGGAAAGCTCAACAGTGGTGAATGCTCCTGAAGAGTCGAGAAGAGGAGTGAAATTGTCCGTTGGACTTAATGACACAAAGATTAGCATGGCTCGGAGAGGGCAGTTCCAGATGATTGGTCAGGCCACATGCCAGATTAGAGTGACAGGCGAGGGTACCAAGGTGTTTCCTTTGTGCTTTCTTGTAATTAAAGATATCTTCCATGTAAAAATGCCTGGGGATATGGGAGACATGGAGAGGCATTTATAACACTGTCCCAGCGAGCTCTGGAAAGAAGAGACCAGACAGTGCAAAAGAATATACAAGGTGTTAGGCTGGCAGACAAATGTGGCTGAGGCAGGTGGTATGCAGGTGAGCATCTAGGTGACTATGTTCCTGAGATGTAATGATGCAGGATACATAATCCTTTAGGGTGTTTTTTCCAGTGCTCAGCATCACCACTTTGAAATTTTCAAGACATGCAGAATTTCAGGCTTCACTCTGGATATCTTGAGTCAGAAACTCGGGATGATCCCAGCAACCACACTAATAACCAGCCTTTTACATGGCTCTGATGCTCACTCAAGTGTGAGAGGCATGGCTCTAGCAAAGACACCAGTACATCTGCTACCTAGGCACAGAGCATCCTCCAGCTCATTTCAACTCTGCAAAATTCACCTTAGGAGTTGCTCTAATTACTTTTTACCCAATTTGAAATTGCTGGTCAAATTTAAACTTGCCTTTGACGACAGATATGGAGCTTACCAAAGACAGGAAACAGCTTTTTAAAAAATCACTTACGTTGCTTGAAGATTTCGAGGGCCCGCTTCAGGGTGCTAAAAAATAAGCACATAACCTCATTTCAATTCTGAAAGTGGTCTATATAGTATTATTAAAATGCCTCTGCATGATTCTCTGTGCCATGTCTTAAAGCCTAGAGACTCATCTTTGCTAGTGAGCTTGAGCAGACCTCTTAAGCACGATTTCCTTAATCTCAGGCATAAGCAATTCTTCACTGTCTGCCTCAGCAGAGCAAGGCGCCAAAAGCATTCTTCATTTTCCCCAATGATAATTTAGTAGTCTCTTTCTCATAACACCAGTCATTCTTTAAAGTACGGCAACTAGAAGTCCAAAAACAAGGCAATAAAGAAAGGATTCAGACCCTACTTCCTGAATGCCTCCTTTGTATTCATTCAATGATCATGTATTTATTGATCATAAACTATGGACCAAGCATTGTGTTAGATGTTGGTGATTCAGGGGCAGGAGACAGGCAGCATCGCACAGCTCAGAGTCTAATGGATGAGACAGACATCTAACAAGCTGTACTGTATTAGTTTTTCTGTTGCTGTATAGCCCCAACAGCAAAAAATAATACATATTTATTATCTTACAGGGTAGGAGGGTTAGCGGTCTAGCCATGGTTTCACTGTACTCTGTGCTTTGAGTCTCCCAGACTGCATTCTCATCTGCAGGTTTTACAGGAAGAATCTGCTTCGAAGTTTGCTAGAAACCTAAAGTTAATTTTTACTCTCACTCTAAATAAAGAAATCCCTGAGAATGTTTTAATTCAAAGCATCCTTCCTACCAAACCATGTTAGCACTATCCATGTATTTTTGTTACGTTTGGTTACTACTATCCTATTTCTTATTGTTTTTTGAGAGAGTCCCCATGTAATTCAGGGCGGTTTTGAACCCACTATGTAGCCCAGGCTGACCCTGAGCTCACAGTGATCCTCCTGCCCCAGCCTCTCAATTGCTGGGATTCCAGGTGTGCACCGCCACACTTGGCATTATCCAATATTTTTATTATTCCATCTTGCTTTTTAAATCCCTAGAATTGACAGGAATATTTTTTCAAAAACTTTAGATGTATTCGTATTTGTTCTATCATTTGCTCACGACACCTTCCTGAACTTCAGACCCTTTTTTCCTAGGCTATTCCCTTTCTTCCTTAGGGTGTTGTTTAAAAGTACCTCTGCTGAAGATCTTCTTAGAGCTAAATTTTTGTTGGTCTGAACACTTTTCATTTCAATATTTTTGTTTGTCTAAGAACATACTTTTTCTTGTTTCTTGAAAAAATTTCTCTGGGTATACAATTTCAGGTTGATAAATTATTTCTGTTTAGTACCTTAAAGATATAATTGCACAGTGTCTGGTTTCATTGTTGTCTAAAAACCAGCTATCACTCTAATAAATAAAAGTTCATTAATGCATAATCATTCTTTCTGCATGCCATTAGACTTTTTCATTATTTTGAATCTTGCTCAGTTTGTCTACCACGATGCAGTCATGAATTTATAATTCTTGAAATTTGTTTCGCTTCCTGAATCTGAGAATTTTCGGCTCCCATCACTTCTAGAAAATTCTCAACTTCTGTTGCTTCAAAAATTTCTTCTCCTTCTCTCTATTATATCTTCTGGAACCTGATTAAATGTGCATGATACTTTATTCTCCATGGTTCTTACTTTTTTGTTATTCTTGGGCTTTTTAAATAATTTTTTTATTTTTTATTAATACTTCTTTTTTCCTAAGATGAGTTCTGCGTGATTTCATTTTCTAAATTTTATTTCTTAATTGACAAAGATTTTATGTATTTACCATGTATAACATGATGGCTCAAAACATGTATACATTGTGGAATGGTTCAGCAGAGCTAATTAACATGCACATTACTCCATCTACACATCTACCACTGTTTGTAGTGACAGCATTTAAAATCTACTCTGTTAGGGCCAGGGATTTAGCTCAGTGGTTCTGGCACCTGTTTCACAAGTGCAAGGACCCGAATTCTATCCCTGGTACTAGAAAAAAAACAAACAAAAAAAAACACTTCCTAGTAAAATCTACTCTGTTAGCAATGTACAATACAATTCACCTGATGTTACCTGTAATCACATTATACAATAGATCTCTTGAGACCTTACTTCTCCTAACTGAAATCTTGTATCTTTTGACCCATATTTCCCTAACCATGATCCCAGGCCCTGGTCATTTTTTCTTTTCAAAAACTGTTGGGAACTTCTGAGAGTTCTGTCACTGGTACATTTAGTTCAAACTTTTTGTTTTTCTCCCTCCCTCCCTCCCTCTTTCCTTATATCCTTCCTTCTTTCCCTTTTCCGTCCCACCTTCCTTCCTAATTTTCAGTCTGGAGATTGAGACCAGGGAGCTCTACCCCTGAGCTACATCCACAGCCTTTTTATATTTTTATCTTTGAGCCATATCTCAGTTGCTCTGACAAGTCTTGAACTTATGATCTTCCTGCCTCAGGCTCCACTACTGGAATTACAGGCATATACCACCCTGCCTGACACACTCTTTTATTTTCTTTAAACATATTACATAAGTTTGGTTTTCAGAGCTGTTATTTTCAGTATCTAAACTCCATGCTTATCTCTTATTGCTACTTATTGTTTCTGTTGATCCATATTCATGGTTACTTATTTCCATGTGTGTGTGCACACTGTATAATGAGCTCAGTGTTCATTGTGGGTTTTTAGACAGGATCTGCATTCATGTCTTCTAAGTAAGTAGACATAACCACTTGGGACCACTTTCAATTTTTAGGTTGGGAGTCTTCAGACCTCACCTTCATGAAATGTGGTCATCTGGTATGCCAAATCCTGTCTGCTCCATTAGGGCCTCTGAGAGGACACTGCCAGCAGAGCACTGAGTCAATTATGAAAATTTTCAAAGTGGAGGTTCCCATATGATGCTCATGAAGCCAGTCTGCACACGAGGGAGAGTATTCCTAAGTAGGTGCCACTTTCTACACTTTGCTGCATTCTAAGAGTATTCAGTGAAAGATGAAGAATGATTATGGTGCAGTAGCCGGGCATGGTGGCGCGTACCTGCAAATCTAGCACTCGGGAGGATGAGGCAGGAGGATCACTGTGAGTTCGAGACCAGCCTGGGCTACATAGTGAGTTCCAGGTCAGTCTCAACTACATAGTGAGACACTGTCTCAAAAACCCAAAAAAAAAATTTTATGGTGCAGAAATTTCACATTGGTGATAACTACAGAATTGTGCAAAGACACTTTCTCGTAACTATCATAAAATATAGAATACATGAATGTATAACTGTATGTATACATCATCTTTTAATTATTTTGTTTTAAATGTATTATATATAAAACAAGAAGCCCCTCTATTACATTTCTAGCATAAACTTATACATAACTTTTATGCAAAAAGTATGCATATAAAAAGTTCAAGAAAAATTGAACTATTAATGGTGAGTTGTAGCATCTTGGTCCACTAAGTCTTCTTTTCCTCATCTATACTTTTCTCACAACTGGAAGTAAGAAAATTAAAATTAAAATTATTTTCACCTAACGCACTGCAGCCTACTGACCAACCTGATCTGTGAAAGTGAGGGAGGCTCCAGGAAGTCTCAGTCACCCTGGAAGCCTCAAAGACATGTGCACCTACTTGATCTCCGACTGTCCACATGGCTTCTTCCTGGATAAGCTGAGCAGATCCTTGCCGTATTTTTCTTCAATCGATGCCCTGAAGGAAACAGAAGAGAGGGCTATGGGTCTTACTCAGAGCTGACCCACCCTTAGAAAACACACCAAGCACTGACCTTGAAGGCAATGCTTCCCTTTAAAGTAGTACTTCAGACATAATGTCATTCTCTAAAAAGCAAAACTCCCTTTTTAAAATGAGGAAGAATAAGAGCTGGGGATTTAGCTCATTGATTCCACTGCCTGCCTCGCAAGTGTAAGGTCTCAAGTTTGATCCCTGGTACAAAAAAAAAAAAAATTAAAATGAGGAAGAATTACAAAAAGAACAGTGGCCATGGTATTCTCCAGCTCAAAGTCCCACCCATGGCATCACAGCAAAGCTGAACATTTGTTACTGTGGAGGTGGGGTTTCCATATGTTGTACAAGCTGCCTTAAACTCCCAGGCTCCAGTGATCCTTCCACCTGTGCCTTCTGGGTGACTGGAACATAGGCACGTGCCACCGCACCTGACTGGAGCACTTTTTAAGTGGAAAAAGAGATGCATCTATCAAGTGCTGCACCTTACCTTGGGGCCTGGCCTCTCACCTTCTCCAAGCAGCCCCTTTACCACTGTGCAGAGTCCTTCACTCACAATCACTTTAAAGCACAACTAATCTGTCTCAAAGACAGGGGATCTCAGGGTATAAACTCTGCTGCCAACAAGTCTCACAGAAATACCTGCTTGCTCCCCTCTTCCTATTGCTCTCTCTCCCATCATCTTCACTATAGTATTTAAGCTCACATAATCCACTTTCCTTCTTCAGGTTTTTCAAAATTGTATAATAAATTCATGTAGACTCACTGCAAAAGATTCAAACAACACAAAGCATACTATCAGTATGTATAGATCCACCATGTTCAAAATATGTAGTTTGCTACAGAGTCCCTGATTGGTTGCCAGTTTTTCATTACCACTAAAAAAGAAAGGAAGAAAAGAAAACCACTAACTGAATATCCTTGAACATATATCCTTGGGCATTCTGATAACATGCAAGAGTTCTGAGAAACAAGATTTACTAGATATGCATTTTTGAAAAAGTGTACCAAATTACCCTCCAAAGACACTGTCTCAAGATATATGGCCACCAAAAGCTCCCATTCCCAGCAACCCTCAGCCATGCTGGATCCTCTCCTCTCCTGTCCTCTCCTCTTCTCTCCCCTCCCCTTCCCCCCATCCCTCTCTCTCTCTCTCTCTCTCTCTCTCTCTCTCTCTCTCTCTCTCTCTCGTGTGTGTGTGTGTGTACAAAGGACCAATGCTGGTGTCAACTCTCTCTCTTGTGTGTGTGTGTGTACAAAGGACCAATGCTGGTGTCACAAATCAGATGAAGATGACTGGTTAAAACCACTCCCACCAGGTAAACACTTGGGAAGATACCAAGAAGGGGAATAGTTGGGCCAAATGGAACCTCTAGTTATAGTTTTTTGAAGAATATCCATACTGATTTCCACAGTGGTTGCACCAGTCTGTAGTGGAGAAGGGTTCCTTTTTCCCCACAGCCCCACCAGCATTTGTTATTGGTTGATCTCTTGATAACAGCCATTCTTTCTGGAGTGAGGCAGAATCTCAGTGTTGTCTTAATTTTCTTTTTTTTTTTTTTTTTTTTTTTTTTTTTTTTGGTCCAACAGCCATTCTTTCTGGAGTGAGGTGGAATCTCAGTGTTGTCTTAATTTGCTTTTTTTTTTTTTTTGGTACTGGGGATCGAACTTGGGTCCTTGTGCTTTTGAGGCAGGCCGTGGAACCACTGAGCTAAATCCCAGCCCTTAATTTGCATTTCTTGAATGACCAGTGATGTTGAACATTTTTTCATGTATTTATTTGCTGTTTCTACTTCTTCATCTGAGAAGTGTGTATTCATTTCAGATAACTATTTTTGGATTGGATCTTTACATGTGTGGGGTCTGATTTTTTTTTTTTAGTTCTTTATATATTTTAGATATTAGTCCTCTGTCTGAGAAACTGCTGGCAAACTTTTTTTTCACATACTATGGGTTGTCTCTTCACTCTTGGTAGTTTCTCTTGCTGTGCAAAAGCTTTTTAATAAGATGAAATCTCAGTTGTTGATTCTTTGTGATATTTACTGTATCATTGGGGTTTTGCTCATAAAGTCTGCCTACACCAATGTTTACAAGAGTTCTACCTAATCTATCTTCCAGCAGATTTAGTGTTTCTGTTTTAATATTTAGATCTTTGATCCACTTTGATTGCAGCTTAGTGCATGGTGAAAGATATAGGTCTAGTTTTAATCTTTGACAGGTGAAAAGCCAGTTTTTCCAGCATCATTTATTAAAGAGGCTATCTTTCTTCCAGTGAAGGTGTTTGGCTCCTTTGTCAAGGATAAAGTGGCTGAGGCTCAGGGATTTAGCTCAGGGGAACTGTGCTTCCTCAAAAGAGCAAGGTCCTCAGGTAGGCAGAACTCTTGAAGACATTGGCATAGGAAAAGTCTTTATGAACAAATCCTCAGTAGCACAGAAGCTAGCAGAAAGAATCAACAACTGGGACCTCATCTTATTAAAAAGCTTCTGCACTGCAAAAGAAACCATCAACAGAACTAAAAGACAACCTACAATGTGGGAAAAAATTTTACCAGCTGCTCCTCAGACAAAGGACTCTTATTTAGAATATATAAAGAACTCAGAACAATCAGCCCCCCCACAAATATAAAGACCCGATTCCAAAATGGGCAACTGAAATGAACAGACATTTCTCAGACAAAGCAGTAAAAGCAGCAAGTAAATATATGAAAAAATATTCCACATCACTGGTCGTTCAAGAGATGCAGATGAAAACAACACTGAGATTCCACCTCACCTCACAAAGAATGGCTGCTATCAAGAAATCAACCAAGCCGGGTGTGGTGGTGCACGCCTGTAACCCCAGCACTCAGGAGGCTGAGGCAGGAGGATCACTGTGAGTTCAAGATCAGCCTGGGCTACATAGTGAGTTCCAGGTCAGTCTCAACTACATAGTGAGACCCTGTCTCAAAAAAACAAACAAACACACAAAAAAGAAATCAATAACAAATGTTGGTGGTTGTGGGGAGAAAGGAACCCTTCTCCATTGTTGGTGGGAGTGCAGATTGGTGAAACCGCTATGGAAATCAATATGGAGATACCTCAAAGAGGTGGAACTAGAGGTTTCATTTGACCCAGCCATCCCTCTGCTAGGTATCTTTCCAAAAGAATTAAAAGAATCATTTCACAGTGATATGTGCGCACCCATGTTTATAGCGGCACAGTTTGTAATAGCTAAAACTTGGAAACAGCCCATTTGCCAATCAGTTGGAGACTGGATAAAGATGTGGTTTTTCTATAAAATGGAATACTACTCAGCCATAAAGAATGAGAAATTAGTCATTCATAGGAAAATGGATACATATTAAGGATAAACTCCTAAGTGAAATAAGTCACACATGTGTAAATATCAAATAGTTTCTCTGGTGTGAAAAACTATAACAGTACATAAGATCCTAATGATATAATTAACAATGTGAAATAGGAAGAAAAGGGCTAAAGGTGTAGGGAAAGTGCAAAGGGTAGGGGAAAGGGAATAAGGGAAAAATATATGAGAAAATGAAAAAGTGGAAATAAAATGTTTGTAAATGGGGAGGGGAGGCGGGTGAAGGGAGGGCAGGGACAAGGGGAAAAAATGAGAATTAAGACCTGTCATGTAAAGGTACAAGATCCCAAAGATGAATGTAACTGCACTGTATACCTAAAATGTACCAATAAACTCAGTGAGAGAGAAAAAAAAAAGTGCAAGGTCCTGAGTTTGTTCCCAGGTACCAAAAGAAAAAAAAGAAAAATGGAAAAGATACATGGCAGAGTATGTTTGAAGTTGTTTCTGCATCCGTTCTAATCTGTTCCAATGATCCTCCAGTCTGCTTTTTTTGCTACTCCCATGCTGTTTTTCTCATAGTAGCTTTGTAGTATAAGTTCAAGTCAGGGATTGGGATGCCTCCTGCCTTGCCTTT